TCGATCCACAGGTCGGCCACGTAGAGCGGCAGCCACGAGACGGCGAACAGCAGCACCAGGCACACCACCATCTTGGCGATCTTCTGCCGGGTCTTCAGGCGAGAGGCGTGCAGGGCCCGGCTGCGTGGGTCCAGGTCGGCGAAGGCCGACCGCGTGCCGCCCCACAGTCGCCGGCCGGTCAGGAAGCCGACAGTCAGGTTGAAGGTGACCGGAAGGCAATAGAGCACCGCGAACAGCAACACGTTGTACCTGCGCGGGAAGGAGGAAGGAATCAGGTCGCGGCGAAACGCTCAAAGTCAAAACGTCGCTCCTCAAATGAAGTCACGGAGTCGCAAAACGGCAAAAAGGACTCCAAGCCTTGACGACGGCGGTACCTGGACTTGACAAGTGCCTCGACTCAAGAGATTGCCCCACGAGGGTTCCAAAGCGTTCCTCGGTCGATTTTTTGTCACTTTGCGTTCGGAAGCAAAATTGCAATTGGAATGCGCTTGGCATACGCTGCCGCCACTCGGGCGACGCCAAAGAAACGGAGCGAGAGGGGCCGTTGCTCCAAATGCTCAAAGGCGCAAACGCACAACGAGAACCCACCCTGATCCGTCTATTTTCGGTGTACCTCGTTGTCTTGTCCGCTTGTCTGTGTTTGTTTGCCAGCTTTCGTTCCGTCTTTCCCGATTCATTCTTGCTAACTTTGGCCCTCAACGTTTTGGCGATGCTTGTTGATGTCGTATTTTGCATTCCTTTGCGGGGCTCAATCACGACAACGCGCTCGTTACCGACGGAACGCTAACTCCTGAGCTTTGTGGTCAAAGCTTCCGCTCAGCCGTCCTTTGATGTTTCTCCTTTGAGGGCTGACACGGTCGCGGTGCCGCGTGACCTTGCGCGAACGCGACTCGCAGTTCATTGACGGCTCCGCCAAGCGCACGGCTGTCCAAAGTCGGTCTTTGAGGGCCGCCGTCCCGCCAGCTCTCGCAGGAGCAACGCACCCGATGAAAATCATCAGGATGGAAAGCTGGACCTGCCCGCCCTGGGGTGTTCTGCTCCTTCAGGAGGTGTTCACTCAAGGCGCGCTGTTGATTTGCGGTGGCCACTATTTGAGGAAAGGAACAAAGTGTGTCCAAATCGAAAGCCGGTTCATTGTCATTCCGCGGCAAAACAAGACCGATATGAATTTTGAAAGAGGTCAAACTGGGAGTCAAAGGTGATTTCTCTCCGCGATGAAAGCGAAAGTAGTCATTTCAAAAGTTTTTTTTTTTTTTTTTTTTTTCCCATTAACAACAAA